CTGATGTCTGAATTGAGATACAGACATAAGTAATGTCTGACTTGAGATACAGACATACATTATGTCTGACTTGAAATATAGACATAATTAATGTCTGACTTGAGATATAGACATAAGTAATGTTTGACTTGAGATACAGACATAAGTAATGTCTGACTGGAGGTACAGGTGTGAGCCACATAAGTCTTTTCAGATGTCAGACTTGAGATACAAGACGTAAGTAATGTCTGATTGCCTTTTCCGTGGTGACTGGTTTGTGTAGCTGTTGTTTTTACAGGATGAGGTAGCCAACCCAAAGCCCAACCCTACCCTTATCACCTCTTAAAGCCATTCTTGATAAGGTGCATTGCTAACATTATTTGGTTCCTGTGAAGGCCCTGGTAAACTAAAACAATTACATAAACTACAAACATTCATTAACGTGTCCTTCCGTGGAAAAGAGGAAATTAAATGGTATGATAGAATCTCTATTGCTGGGCTTTGGGAGAAAAAAACAAGTTCCAGTGGACCAAGAGTTGAAGAAACGATGAAACAACAGTCGTGGTGGATGGGACACACACTGAGAAAACATGAGAACAATATCACTAGAATGCTTTGCACTGGAACCAACAGAGGCTTAGAAATAAAAGAAAGCCATAAAATAGATGGAAAGAGGAGCTAGAGAGTGAAGTTAAAAAGAAAAGGAGGACATCGGGTGAGCTGCATGATATAGCAAAGAACAGAATGGCTGGAGTGAGGGCCTATGTTCCACTTGAGGATAGATGGCAGAAGAAGAAGAAGTAAGAATGTATGACTGGAGATACAAGCATGAGTCAGTTAAGTCTATTTTTAGGCTATGTCTAACTGCGGACACAGTTTCTGGGATACCTAAGTCTCTGTGTGTAAAATATCATTGGTGATACAGGTATCAGATACACCTCTTTTCTGGTAAAATATCATTGGTGATACACCTCTCATTAGGTAAAATGTCACTGGTGATACAGGTATGATACACCTCCCTTTTGGTAATATATCATTGGTTATACTGGTATGAGATACACCTCTCTTTCTGTAATATATCACTGGTGATACAGGTAAGAGATACACCTCTCTTTGGGTAATATATATCACTGTGGATACATGTGTGAGGTACACATCTCTTTGGGGATTATATATTACCAGTGATAAAAGTGTGAGATACACATCTCTTTGCGTAATATTTCATCAGTGATACAGGCATGAGATATACATCTCTTTGCGTAATATTTCATCAGTGATACAGGTATGAGATATACATCTCTTTGGGTAATATATTACTGGTGTATAGGTATGAGGTACACACTGGGCAATATATTAATAGGGATACAGGTATGATATACATCGATCTCTTTGGGTAATATATTATTGGTGATACATGTATGTGATACACCAATCTCAATCTCCTTGGGAACTATATCACTGGTGATACAGGTATGAGATACATAAATTTCTTTGTGTAATATATCACTGGTGATACAGGTATGAGATATAGATCTCTGAGTAATATTTCATTGGAGGAATAGCTATGGGACACAAAAGTCTGACTGAACAATATCTGACTGGACAATGTCTGCCTGGACAATGTCTGACTGGACACTATCTGATTGGACAATGTCTGATTGAACAATGTCTGACTGGACAATGTCTGACTGGACAATGTCTGACTGGACAATGTCTGACTGGACAATGTCTGACTGAACAATGTCTGACTGAACAATGTCTGACTTAACAATATCTGATTGGACAATGTCTGACTGGATAATGTCTGACTGAACAATGTCTGACTGGACAATATCTAACTGGACAATGTCTGACTGGACAATATCTGCCTAGACAATGTCTGACTGGACAATATCTGACTGGACAATGTCTGACTGGACAATATCTGACTGGACAATATCTGCCTAGACAATGTCTGACTGGAAAATTTCTGAATGGACATGTCTGTCTGGACAATGTCTGATTGTACAATGTCTGTGTGGACAATGTCTGACTGGACAATATCTTACTGGAGATACAAATATTGACACATATCTGTTGGGACAATTTCTCACCAGATATAAATATATGGAACTTATCAGTCTGAAATTATATCTAACAGGCTATACACAGGTAACTTCCTCATCGCCAAGTGCAATACCAACTGTTGTGGGCAATCCTGTTTCCCCATGTCTAGCAGATTTCAACAGTATGTGCCAGTTTCAGGCTAACACATGTCTCTTAACACTGATTTTATCTCTTGTCTATAGAACTGTTGTCCTTGAGGGAGAAAATAGGGGCTTTTGAGCTGAAATGTTATAGAAAGCTCTCAGAATACCATAGACAAAGTGGAAAAGATTTTAACATAAAGGAAGATTGGCTAGTAAACTGCAACTTGTATTGGAGAGTAAAATAAGTTGGCCATGTCAAGTGTCACAGTGGATTGGAAAAAATAAAAGCAGAAGTTATGGCACCAGGGAAAGAGGGGCAGGGATTGAACAAGCATGAAGATGTGCACAGAATATAAGTGACACTTTGGCTGGGAAAGAGCATGAGACAGGAGAGCTGACGAGAGACCGGGCAGACTGATGAGAGCAACATTCTGCAAAAGACCTGCCACATGATGATGAAATAATTGTTGGTGATGTTTTTTAATGTGCCTAGAGTATTCTTCTTCTTCTTCGCGTTCACCAGCTGTACACTCTGGCGGAAAGCTCTGGTTGCTCGTCCACTACTGAACTGCAGTCCTGCTCCAGAACCTGAGTGTTGCCTATGCATCAGATTTACAGATCTCATTCCCTTGAATACAGACTGTTGGTTCCTTGCCTCTCCGGCAGATGCACTCTGACTTCAAAGGAAGCTCCCCAATTAGTCGACTCTTACGACATGCTTTTGGGGAGGCAGTGGGTCTATTCTTGTTTTCCCCACAATGGGGCCTCGGAACCCACACGGGGGCCTAGAGTATTGTTTTCATTTGTTTGTTTGTTGATTTAGCCAATGTTTTTTCTGTCGTATTATAAATGGTGTGAATTAGTCAACAGGCCAAAAGATCCTTCGCAGCCTAAGCGATGAGGTTTTACAGAAGCATTGAAAACTGAAATGACTGCATATGAATTCTCGGTCTTGGGAGTGGCATTTAGGATTCTTGTTTTTTTCATTTAAAAAGTCTCTGGTTGAAACATTCAATTATAACAAAGCAGTGTTTGACATGTTCCTTATTTGGCCAGTGTCTTTCTGATTATGTTTTTTTGATTTGTCTGGAGCAGTGTTTTTCAAATTGGTGGCTCATGGAAAAAAAGGGGTCCATCTTATCATTAAAAAAAAAATGCAATTTTTATTTCTGAAATAAAAAAAAAATGACTTTAACATTTATAAATTATACGTTCTTCAGTTCGACTATTAAGAAGCATGCAGTCTATGGCTGACCTTTGAAAATGGGAAATGCAGGTCTTAGCGAACTGGAAACCACTGAGTAGTGTTAACCTTTTTACCTCTGCGGCCCCATAAAAACAAAATAGGTTTTGCAGGCCACCAAACATAGAAAAAAAAAAATACGAACATAGATAGCAGTTCATTTGTTAAATTTAGTGTCACAAATTTATGATTTTCAGATAATGTAGAATCTGCATCTACTCACAGGTTATCAAACCTATTGTCTGAGCAGGGTTTCTGGGATGGGTACCTGTTTGATTCTCAAAAGTGTCATGTTAATCCTATAAACTACAATCACAGAAAAGAAAACCTACCTACCCTACCCAGTTACATGATCAGGCAGACCTTTGTGAGGGCCCACCTGGACTTTTCTGTAGCCCAGCAGTTCGGCCGCAACCCATAGGTTGAAGGATTCTGAGCTAGAGCACAGCTTGATTCTTGTTTCGACTGCATGCATACGACTCATTTTAAACTGACTCTTCATGCATTCATCAGCATGAACAGTTCAGTGTGGGTTCCAGAGTCTTAGGAGGAAACGAGAATAGACCCATGGCCCACTAACAAGAAGGTCATGAAAGGTGACTTTTTTTCAGGAGGTTTTTTTGTTGGGGGGGGGGGGGGAGAGAACAAGAATAGAACCACTGCCCACTAATAAGTATGTCATGAAAGGTGAGGGGAAACGAGAATAGACCCATGGCCCACTAACAAGTATGTCAGGAAAGGTGACTTTGTAGGAATTTTGGGGGACCTGGGAGGTATAGTAGCTAGATGCTTACCTGTGGAGGTATAGTAGCTAGATGATTACCTGTGGAGGTATAGTAGCTAGATGATTACCTGTGGAGGTATAGTAGCTAGATGCTTACCTGTGGAGGTATAGTAGCTAGATGCTTACCTGTGGAGGTATAGTAGCTAGATGATTACCTGTGGAGGTATAGTAGCTAGATGCTTACCTGTGGAGGTATAGTAGCTAGATGCTTACCTGTGGCCCAGAGATTGTGGGTTCAACTCCACACTGAATGTTTTTTTTGGGGGGGGGTGTAACTTTCTAAGTAAAGGTAGCCAGTGTGATGTTGACCATATCAGCCACCAAGTGCTGATTGGGCTATACAATACAGGTCTAGTCCTGAATGCTTGAAGACATGGAAAAGGGTCCTTTACTTCCCATGACATTTCCTGGTAAACATTTTAAGCTGGGTCAACCTGGAAGCCCTTATCAGTTATAAACGTCTGCCAGAATGGAGATATGAACCCAAACCTTCCAGTCAGCAGACAAATGTCTAGCTACTGTGCTTTCACAGTATCCATTGTCCATAATGCTGAGGTATAGTTCAGAACATTTACATTAATGCAATGTATTTTGGCTTTAATATCATAGTTTTAAAGACTTAACAGGGATATCAGTGTTCAACTGTTTTATGACTTTTTAGTCATGTTGTTATCTTAAGTATTAAAATAACAGAATTATTGATGATATGATCCTGGTATATCCATGCCACTAACAAAATCTTAGCCAGCAATGTTACACTGATGAAACAAAAAATAAGGGAATTAAATGTAACTCTTTAAAAACTCTAAGATAACTCCATCTGAACTTCTTTGATTGTGCTCATTAATGATGCCAACAAGGTTGCCAGGTTTTGGGCCTGGCGCATCAAGTATTTCATATTCGGGTCACTCAAACTCTTCCCCAAGGCCAGATTGGCTGCACTGACTGTGGATTTGAATGAGTTTGCTGCTTTGATGATCTGGAAGCCCATGTGCTTGGCACGGTCCGGCAAAATCATCAGCAACATGGCTGCCTGCCCATGCAGAAACACATGGGCCAGGGTATGAACCGCAGAATTTAGCTGCTGGACCATTAACTCATGGCTGTGGCTAGCACTGCTGACCACCATCTTAGCTTCCTGGATGAACTGTTTGGTCTGGACCTGAAGCTCAGACAGGCACATAGACAGCTGTCCTTGGTTTTTATCAATACGTGATGTGAGTAGTGAGTCCATTGTCAGCTTGAGTTCCGCCAGTAATCTCTCGATGTCCTTGCCCACCAGATCTATCTCTGAGTAGCTGTGAGAAAGAACTAACTTCACTGAGTTGGTTGTACCATCACTGACAACCTGAAAACTTGTATCATGCTTTGTTTCTTTCACAGACGGCGGTTGTGAGTCACTATTGACACAGGGTGAGGTGGTAGAAGGGGGAGAAGACAACAGAAAAAGAGTTTCTGCAGTCGTAATCGGACTCCCATTTGCGTCTTCATTGTGTTGTGATATACCAGTGGTTATTTCCTCCCTGAAACTGACTCTTCTAAAAATCGAAGTTGGAGAATTATCTCTAGAATAATCTGCCGGCAGCTCATCATATCCGTTAAACGATGAAAACGCAGTCTTAAGAACATGTGCAGGGTTATCCCTCCTGCTTATCTGATCCATACCTAGTCTGTTTCTATCAAGGGAATGTCCATATGACCTGTGGTAAGATAACTCTTGGTTCAGCAAACTTCTATTGTTACCGGCAGCAGTTATCCTTTCCTTCTTGACCTCCCATTCTGGGTCAGAGTTCATCCTGAGAGCATCAAAGTTGGTAAATGAATGGTAAACATTCTCATTGGATTTACTGGTGGTACCCACTACTGTAGAGGTAGGACGCCATATTTTCATGGTAGCATAAGGATTCGTGTGGACTTTTTCTTTGGCAGGAGTCATAAGGCTGTCATCCTTGGAGATCTGTGTGTGTTGCTGGTAGCCGCTGGATCTTTCAGAATCAACCGAGAGAAATCTGGACAAGACCATCTTGTTATCATCATCACCTCTGGTTTCTGGTGGAAGAGCCTTAATGGGGCCACTGTTTCGTGTCTTGGTCTGTTGAAAGAACCAACAAAAAAAAATGTTTCAAACGGTGTTATTTAAATATCTGCTGCAACTGTTTCTCAAAACATTCAGGATTCTTCTGCCTTCTTTATCTTAGTGTTCACCAGCTGTAAACTTTGGTAGAAAGATTTGGTTGTCTGTCAACTTCTGGACTTTAGTCTTGCTCCAGATAGACCGATGGTCCCTTGCATCTGAGCAGAAGCACTCTGACTTCAAAGGAAACACCTCTAATTAGTAGACATTTTAGACATGCTTGTTTGGGAGGCAGCGACTCTACCCCCCCCCCCCCCCCCCCCCCCCCCAATAGGGCCCTGAACACATACAGGGAATTCAAGATTCATCTTCTTCTTCTTTTCATTGATCCGAATGACAGAATTGTGTTGTGCCTGTCTACAGCTAAGCTGCGATATTTGCACGTTTTAACAGACATGTTCAGCTTCATCAAGCATTTTTGTTAACTGATTAAACTTCCTGAGAATTCAGGATTCATTTGAATAGATACATGACACTCTTGGTAACACTTCTTTTTCTTTTTCTTCTTCTTCTTCTTCTTATTTTTATTCTTTTTATTCTTCTTAGTATTATTCTTTTTCTTCTTCTTATTATTATTTTTCTTCCTATTATTATTCTTTTTCTTCTTCTTCTTCTTCTTCTTCTTCTTATTATTATTATTATTCTTTTTCTTCTTCTTAGTATTATTCTTTTTCTTCTTCTTCTTATTATTTTTCTGCTTATTATTATTCTTTTTCTTCTTCTTCTTCTACTTCTACTTCTTATTCTTCTGCTTCTTCTTCTTCTTCTTCTTCTTCTTCTTCTTCTTCTTCTTTTTCTTCTTCTTCACCTTTTTCTTCTTCTTCTTCTTCAGCATTCTGAGCCCTTAAGGTTCATTGCTGCAGATATAACCCACTCCCATTTATCTCTTTTGCTGCCGTCTCTTTCCAGTCTGTTACAGCAAGTGCTCGTAGGTAATCTTCTTGGTCTGCCTCATGGTCTACGACTATTCAGCTCCCTTGTGTTTACAGTTTTTAACCTCTCTTTCTTCTGACAGAGAAATTATTCCGTTGAACTTTGACTAAAATCTTAGCAAAATTCAGAAGCAGAAAAAAAAAAAGTATGCACAAAACAACCCAATCTGATGTTTTGACCAGGGTCTTTCTCAACATGAAGTGAACTACACAATAATAACAAAGTGGAGAGTACTCCAACAACCAAGGGGTCACATAAGGAGCTATAAAAGACAGACATGGTGCGAATAAAGAAGCAGACAAAGAATGAATCAACTGCCCCTCAACTGTCCCATGCAGTAAAAGGCAAATAATTAAGTGTTAGCTAAAATTAGATATGTTGGGCCATAAAGCACAAATATCACAGTCTTGCTGTTAACTGCAACACAACATACCAAACACCCTTTTGAGGATGAACACAGATGAAGAAGATTATCTTCATGTGTACTTTTAAAACTCCATCAGGATGGAGTCTTAATTAAACAAACCAGCACTATCAGTGTAAAATGAGCCAGTGCGCAGGATCTCACCACTTTGTTGCCAAAGCTCCCACATTCACATACATACGTACATATTCCTTCACTATCCTGTTGTGCCATTATGTCCCTTAGGGCTCGCAGTATATTCTGACATAACATGCTAACTTGTGCAATCAATTAGATATCATGTACGGAATTCAGTCCAATACTTTTTGGCCTTTTTCATCAACGTTTATTTTAGGGTTTGTTTTGGACATCCTCGTTTTCTTAATCTCCTTTATTTCCCCTTCCAATTCATGTCTGGTGATTCTCTGCTCATTTCTTCTCAGCATGTGTCCAATATAGCACCATCTTGTTTGTCTTATCAATATTGTCACCAGTACCGACAGACAAACATATATACACAAGCAATTGAAGACAGCCACGGGGAGTAACCAGGGAATTCTGAACAACGCTAAACACTCAAGGGAAAGGCAAGAAGGAAATATAATCAGAGTGTTACTAGTTCTATCGGAACTGGAACTTTGAGCTTGCTGCTGAAGATGGGGAAGAAGCGCTTATGGGAGAGTCCCGAGTGTTGTGATATCGATTTAACACTCAGCACACCCAAGACAGCCAAAGCCAAGTCATCTTTACATTCTGAAAGACACTGAGATTTAAAGGAAGCTTCACATAACCATTATAATGAAACAGGTAACACACTGTGTATTGGCCGCTTTATCAGAAGAGCTACATTGGACTATACTGTTATAGTTGGTAAGATGGAGAGACAAAGGAGGACAGTAAGAGAAGATAATTGGTCGTTTTGTATCCGGAGGTGGAGCACACCACATACAGTGATGAAAAATGTGTGGTGTTGTATGCTCTAATTCTTTCTCTTTCTTACACACACACACACACAGGCACACACATACACACGCATATACACACACATACATATACACACATACACACCAGTATCTGGGGAAAAACAAGAAATTATACATCCCAAATAAAACAGAAACAAGGCTGAAAATTATGTTGAGTATAACTGCTGTAGTTGCTGCTCCTACTACTAATGCTACTACAGCAGCAACAACAACTACTGCTGCTGCTGCTTTTGCTAATTACTACTACTACCACCACCACTAGCATAAATTAAACATAAATAAATAAGCTTTAGAAGCTGTGCTTCTGCAGTGATTAAAGTGCTTTCTTGTGCGTCTTTTTTTACTTAAAAACACCACCAGTGTCATGCAGTTAGACAGAGAAATCTATGGTAGTACAATAGTATCCTATCTAAATGTTTCATAAAACAAAAAGTATTGAACAACTACAATTCACGTTATTTTGTGTGTGTCTGTGATCATATTAAAGTCGGCTCTGTGGCTAAATCGCTGCGAACGCTTCGTAATGCCGGGATGCCGGGCTCGATCCCAGCTGCAGGCCATGTTGGTTTTGACAGTGGTATCAAGAAAGCCGACCGCCCAGGAGCAATGGCAAACTACTGGACGTAAATTTGCCTAGAAAAATCACACAACAGCCAGGGGCTGTTGGGTTGGTTCTGCAACGTCCTGTAACGGATACGCAACCAACCTCAGATCATATTTTAACAATATCATCAATAAAATTCAAGGTATGAGAAATGTTATTATAAGCTGTGTGATAACTGATGTTTCAATAAAATATGAGATAGTAAAAGATAAGATTTAGGAGGTTTACAGTTAACATTTGGGACCATTATAATAAAAAATTAAAAGATAAGATAACACTTAAAGATGTTTCCAGTTAACATTTGGGACCATTATAATAAAAAATTAAAAGATAAGACAACACTTAAAGATGTTTCCAGTTAACATTTGGGACCATTATAAAAAAAATTAAAAGATAAGATAACACTTAAAGATGTTTCCAGTTAACATTTGGGACCATTATAATAACAAATTAAAAGATAAGATAACACTTAAAGATGTTTCCAGTTAACATTTGGGACCATTATAAAAAAAAATTAAAAGATAAGATAACACTTAAAGATGTTTCCAGTTAACATTTGGGACCATTATAAAAAAAAAATTAAAAGATAAGATAACACTTAAAGATGTTTCCAGTTAACATTTGGGACCATTATAAAAAAAATTAAAAGATAAGATAACACTTAAAGATGTTTCCAGTTAACATTTGGGACCATTATAATAAAAAATTAAAAGATAAGATAACACTTAAAGATGTTTCCAGTTAACATTTGGGACCATTATAAAAAAAAATTAAAAGATAAGATAACACTTAAAGATGTTTCCAGTTAACATTTGGGACCATTATAAAAAAAAATTAAAAGATAAGATAACACTTAAAGATGTTTCCAGTTAACATTTGGGACCATTATAAAAAAAATTAAAAGATAAGATAACACTTAAAGATGTTTACAGTCAACATGTGCGACAGTTATATTGTGAATTATAGTTATATAACAAAAAACCAAAAAAAAAAAAAAAAAAAAAAATTCAGATACGTAGAGGTAACATGTGCGATTATTACATTTAAATATGTAAATAAAATAACATGTAAGACCATTTGAGTTAGCATGGCGGGGTAGATATAAATATTTTTTAACGAAAATGTTAAAATATGTGGGACAACAAAAGGTAACATTGGGATGTCTAAAGTTAGGGCTGCGCCGTTCTATGATACTGAGAGGCGGTCATATCAGGCAGCACCGTAAGGGGGCGTTAAGCCAGATTTATAGCCCGGCTGTATTTAAGACCCCCGGCAAAAGCCAGGGTAGCACCTTGTTATCAATCCTGCCGTCCTTTTTAGGATGCAATTTTTCGTTATTTGAAGCCCTACTCTGGCTCATGCCAGGGGCCGCAATATAGCCTTTATTCACCATCTTTATTCGGATGAAATTTGTTGTTGTTTGAAGCCCCACCCTGGCTCTTGCCAGGGGCCGCAATATAGCCAGGCCATAAATATGGCCTAAAGACTGAGCGCGGTTTCTGGGACCTCTCCACGGTGATCCTCATCCACATGATGGCAGATTGTGTCATCGGGTGTTTATCGCTTGTGTGATGTCCTGGTGGGGTAGAAAGTCAGTCAGTCAGTCAGTCAGTCAGCCAGGGTAGGGCTTCAAAATAACTAAAAATTGCATCCCACATGAGGACGTCATTTTAACATCATAATAAGGTAGGTAGATGTACCCCACCAGAACTTCACACAAGCGACAAACACCCGGTGACACAAAGTGCCACCATATGGATGAGGATCACGCGTGGAGAAACCCCTTCCAGCCGTTAGGCCATATCTATGGCTATGCCATATCTATGCCCCAGCTATATTCAGGGCCCCCGGCAGAAGCCAGGGTAGGGCTTCAAATAAAAAAAAAAGGTATCACACATGAGGACGACAGGTTGTTAAAATTATCATAATGACTGACTGACTGACTTTATATCCCATCAGGACACCACACAAGCGACAAACACCCGATGACACAATGTGCCACCATGTGGATGAGGATCACCGTGGAGAGGTCCCA